TCCGCCTCGGAAAATACTCATCAGACTCGAGCTCAAATCTTTCAGAGTATATCCGTACCACCTCGCCGGGGGACACACGCAACTACCCGGGTCTCAGGTTTATTTGCCAGTCAACGGGTGACACACGCAAACCCGAAGTCCGTTCCATGGCCAATGGAACGTTGGCGCGGTTGCCAAAGAACCGTACTTCCTCGTCACATATTCGGGTGACACACGCAAACCCGAATACGTGAGTCACAGGTTGCCATAACCGTTCGTCAGGGAACGATGGCGCGATCGAAGATCGCCACAATCACAATCACGTCTCCACGGGATGATAATCGATCCGGATCGAATATCATACCGCGAAGATTTACAATCAAGACAATCATCGTGATATCACTCAAGTACCCGTCTACAATCACACATTGAACAATACCCGAACCCATCCGAGTAATGTCAATGCTATGCCATCTACCCTGACAAGATTCCCCAGTCACAAACGGTCATGCATTATTACTTACTGTACACACGGTCAAACATAATTTCTTTTAAGTTTATTTTTACTTATTATTATGTTTTATTAAATCTTTTAAATCTTCGGTCTGATCAAACTAGGTTCCGGCCCGTCCAGATTACCAGTTTGGCTCGTCCCGAGATTGGTACTTACCCGGTCATGTCGTTTGGGTCGTATGGTCCGATTCGAACCGAGTTTAGTAATACCTTGGTTAAATTTAGGTTTTAAGTTTAGACCGAGTCGGTCCAATTTCTGAATCGTTTAACCCATTTATATTTTTTTTTATGGATTTATTTATTTATTATTATTATTATTATTATTTTAATCATGATTATTATTATTATTATTATTCTTTTGACAGTACGGGTTGGTTCAATTTCTGAACCGTCTAATCATTTTCTTTGATTTATTTATTTATTTATTATTTTTATTTATGTTAAAAATATTTTTTTTTTCTTCTTTTTTTTTTTTAGGATCGGGTCGGTCCGGATTCAGACCGTCTGGTCCAGAATTCATCATTCATTATTATTATTATTATTTTATCTTATATTTAAATTTTCGCGTTGATTTATTTGAAACCTCAGTCGGGACGGTGTGGGACCCGTCCGACTCGGTCCAGACTTTGAACGTTATTAAAATATTTAAATCAACACAATAATTCATGCATATAGAACAATCATAAATATTCCACGAATACGAATCAATCAACAATTTTACACATATACACACAAACTCCGAAGACAATAAAAATAGAAATTTCGAATCACATCCAAATTCACTCACAGGGTTATGCCGGTTGATTTTTTTCTAGTAGTGGTGTCCACCGGGATTAGTCGGCAACTTCTTTCTAACTTTTTATAATCTTTCTTTTTTTTTTACTGCATTATTTTAATTTACTCTTCCCTTTTTTTTTCACTCTCTCTCTCTCTTCTCTCTCTCTCTCTCCTCTCTCTCTCCCTTTCTCTGCATTTCACGAGACGTGTTTCTCCTTATATAGGAGAATTTGACCAATTATATATATATATATACACATTATTATAATAATTATCATATATATTGTATATAGATATATAGGTGGGTAGTTGCCAACTACTACGGCAACTTTCACGTTTTCGCAGCCTTAATATATATATATTTTTAATTTAATTTTATTATTATTATTAAAATCTAGATTTGTTACAATAAAGATCACATACGGTATTGAGATCCCTAAACCAAGCAAACATTCATAATATACACCATCGTTATTGTCTTGCTCATGGTTTAGAAGAATCAAATACTCAGATTTCAGATCAGTAAAAATTATCAATGGCTGGAGGTATGTTTTTCGATTTAGAATTTTATTTCCGCATTCATGATCTTTTGTATGTTCAATTGATGCGTATTGAAGATCATGATTTAGATGATTTTAAAGAATTTTAAACTAACACAAGATTCACGTATACGAAGATTTATCGGTTCTTCTTACCACGTTGATCTTTTCATGTCCAGAGAGAAAGTATAGACACGGAAGTAGAATACAGTTCTGTCTTCGGTACGCAGTAGAAAGCACATATGCCAAGTTTAGGGGAAGTACGTAGTGGAGACCAATCACTGCGAATTTGGGCATTTCTTACTAACTTTTAGATGTGCTACTGTGACTTGACTGTAACTTATTTCACTTCACTGTTTGAATTGGACGCCTCTTTGTTTGATCAGAGACTTAACCAACTTTGTGATATATATATATAAGCACTAAGCGGTCATTTCCATGTTCAGATACACGACACTGGAGGTGTCAAACAAACATCTCACCTCCTCAAATAAATACATGAATTTGTTAAAAAATATTTAAAAAAAATACATAAATTTGTTAACTCCCAAAAAAATACATCGATTTGAAAATTTCTTTCAAATTCCTATATATCGAAAATCTGACAACAATTTTCGATCTGAAGCAATGACATGGCCGATCGGAAAATCTATGTCATCGACACATCAATGCTAAATATTAAATCATAATAAATAAATAAATAAAATAAAATATATTTAAAATATAAATTTCAAAAAAGCCTTTTTAAAAAAATAAAAATTTTGTATTTTATATTTTATATAATTAGATATGCATATATATACACACACATAATTACATATATAGAAAATATATATATCTATACAATCATATATATACACAAAATTTATCATATAGATTTACATATATATATATATATAATTGTATATTTTGTATATATATGTATATATACATGTAATTATATGTATACAAAATTTAACATATATATAGTTTTATATTGTATATATATGCATATATATATATATATATGATATACATATATATATATATATATTTTTTGTATATGTATATATTTTATATATATGTAATTATGTATATATATATATGCATATCTAATTGTATAAAATATAATTATTTTATTTTATTTTTTGAAAATATTTTTAAAAAAATTATATTTTAAATATATTTCATTTTATTATATTTTTATTTATATTTATTTTGATGATTTGATATTTTTTGATAACTTGGTATTTTTATAACATGGCGTTGATGTGGCGATGACATAGATTTTTCGGTTAGTTATGTTATCGCTTTAGATCGAAAATTGTTGCCGAATTTTCGATATGTAGGAATTTGGAAGAAATTTTCAAATTGATGTTTTTTTAGGAGTTAACAAATTCAAGTATTTTTTAAATATTTTTTTTATCAAATTTCTGTATTTATTTGGAATTTTCTCCGGTATTTTCGACGTCGATGTCAAGCCTTCGGGAGATAAAGCCCTTTCCGTTGATGGAAAAATCATCCAGGTTGTTTCTCACCGTAACCCAGCTAACCTCCAATGGAAGTAAGTCACTTTCTTGATCAAATCTCTTATATTTTCGTTTTTCTCATTCTCGAACTCGGATAGAGATTGAACGTTTTCGGAGAATGCGGATGATATAGGGACTTGGGTATCGATCTCGTGATCAAAGGAACTGAAGTGTTTGTGGATAGAGAAGGTGCTGGAAAGCACATTCAGGCTGCAGCCAAGAAGGTTCTGATTACTGCATCGGGCAAAGGCGATATCCCGACCTACATGGTCGGAGTCCATGCTGATGCTTATGATCCAGACGAGCCGATCATCAGCAACGCTTCTTGCACGACCAACTGTCTCGCCCCATTCGTCAAGATGTTGGATCATACGAAACCAGTGAAAAACTGCATCTCTTTTTCGATTCCACTCTATCGTTGTGAAAGCTTAAATCTTTCTAACAATGTCGAACATGCATCATAAAGGGTACAATGACAACAACTCACTCCTACATTGGTGACCAGAGGCTCCTCGACACGAGCCAGCATGATCTAAGGAGAGCAAGAGCCGCAACATTGAACATAGTCCCGACTTCAACGGGAGCAACCAAGGCCGTGGCCCTTGTTCTCCCGAACCTCAAGGGAAAACTCAATGGGATCGCTCTCCGGGTCCCGACACCGAATGTATCGGTAGTGGACCTAGTCGTGCAGGTCTCGAAGAAGACGTTTGCGAAGGAAGTGAACGCCGTTTTTAGGGAAGAGGCCAAGAAAGAGCTGAAGAGGATACCGGAAGTTTGCGATGAGCCGCTAGTGTCGGTGGATTTCAGGTGCAGCGACGTATCGTCAACGGTTGACTCGTCGTTGTGGTGAAGGTGATTGCTTGGTATGATAACGAGTGGGGTTACTCTCAGGGGGTTGTGGATTTGGCTGACATTGTTGCCAACAACTGGATGATTAAATCTTTGTTTCCAAAAAAATATTTTTTCTTCTCCATACGCGCTAAATTTGTGTAATTGTTAAGTGCCGAGTTATGTACAAATAATCTCGAACTCGAACATGTTATGTTTTGGTTTATATTTGTTGCATGATTGAGACAGCAGTAAGCCATAAGAGTTGTCTGGTTCGGAACAAAAAAATAGGCGAAATGCACGAAACTGAATGGAACCATCTGAAAGCTGCAACCTTTCACTAATCTCCGGTTCTCCCATGCGATTTTCCCCCTTCTAATCTGCAAGAGACAAGCCGCCTCTCTATGCAGATACCTACGATAGTGACTGCAAGAACAAAGACAACCGTTTCATTGAAGGTCCTAAGAAAAGAAAAAAACAAAGGCCGAAACTTTTGAGGAATCATCCAGGACCCATTTCGCATATACGCATGTTGGGGTTCCCTTCGGGTTCCTAGCATGCGATCTCATCGATCTAGGGTTTGGTTTCTAGGTTTCATGCAGCGGAAGGAAAGATCTAAACCTAGCCAAACGTCACACAAAAACCAATTGTGCAATAACCCGAACAATCGTGTATATCGTCGTGGGATTCGAATACTTACCTCGTTCTTTCAAGATCTGAAAGTATCAATCGATCCAGGGCATGTTTTAATCACCAAGAGTTGAAAGCACAACTCCTCTACACGTATCCACACCGGCGGGATGAATTCCAACGCTTTGGAACGTAGCTGCTAGGATTCGTGAAGAGAAAACCGATGTCCTTGACTTGGAATCAATATTCCAATCTCTATAACTCAAAATCAAGCTTCTCTAAGCTCTCATGAGTGTCTTGGACGTCTGAGGTTCCTTCTCTAGGGTTTGTGGCGGCTCACTCATTAATTAGAATTGCCCAAAACCCTTAAAACGCGAAAACCGAAAACTGCCCGTAAGTCGGACCGTCCGTTCCAGGCCTGGAACGGACGTTCTGATTCTACGCAGAACGGACGGTCCGTTTTATAACGTAGAACGGACGTTCTTGACGCCTGGACCGTCCGTTCCAGACCTGGAACGGACGGTCTGGCATTTGCGGAACGGTTCGTCCGTTCCTCAGCGGAACGAACGTTCCTCAGCGGAACTCTTCCAGATCGCTTCGTCGCTCTTTTCTCGCGTTGTTCTCTTCACGTGTGATCCATCCCTAATGGTGTGTGACCCTGTAGGCCCATTCGAAGTGGCAGTGGCTTCGGAAACCTTTCCCGAACCACAAGTCATGGTTAGCCTCTAGCAAGACGCCATGACCACCCACCTAGAATAGAGTTAGAGGTGATCTAACAAAGCCAGCAATAGTTCGAGTTCTGATCCTTTGTCTCACGATGTCGTATGTTGAACAAGGGCATGGTATGAGCCACCCTTCAAGTTCAACCGCTTACTCGTCTAGGCAAACCGACTGATAAAATAGATGTACATTCATCTATAGCGTGGTCACGCATTTTCACAGTCCGATTTCCACGAGGGGCCCAGCGACATCTCTCCTGCGTAGGAGGTGACAAGTCCCGTATTGCATGTCTACTATCTGCATATGATTCGTGAACGTATCTGAGCAACGCCGTTATGATCATCCGGTTAAAGACGACGTTTGACGCAGTCAAGACACGTCACTCCTCATATCAGATACTCTAGACATCTCAGGTCTGAGGATCCAAGAACGAACCGCTGTATGAGATTCAAGTCATGACTCATGTCCATGTGACAATCTCATGTGGGTCATCCAGTAACTCGTTCCAAACGAGAACCCATGATTGTGATTTGCATCTAATGCATATGATCATAATCATCTATCACACATCATGTTGGTCTTAATTCATCATTGTTCCCACAATGATAACTGACCAGGGAATTTAGAATCATCTGCAATGATTCAAGGATATTTACCGTAATATAACAAACATGCTAATCATATAACGGGAAAAGTAATGCATTCATAAACCAATGAATCAATACATAGTCAAAATGTCATATCACGGATCATCGTAGAGCATTACAACCAACAACGCAGAGCAAGACAATCTCCTTATCAGGGAATCGTGGGTCTAGACAATCTACGAATCTGTTAAAAGAGATGCCAAAAGAAACAATCTTTTTTTTTTGTGCGGACAGTGGGAAATTGAGAGTTGAAAAGATGAAAAACAAGAACTGAAGAAATGACGTTTCTGTTGATTAGCAAAGATTCAAAGAGATACCAGAGGAAAAACAATAGCATACGTGCGAAGAGACGAGAGAGGTGAAGACTTTTATATAAATTTGAATTATAAATGAAAGAGAATGAATGGGTTTTTTGTATATGTGAAAGAGAATGATGAAATGAAGATATTTAGTATGCATATGAAAATGTATTGAAGATGTGTATCGGAGAAATATCTCCTGCATGTCTTATTCTTAAGTGTTGACTTTAGAATACATATATATACAAAATAGAATCAAAATATTATGGAAAGGTAATAAGTGTAAAACGACTAGATACAATTATGGTAACAAATATGTAATATAGCATATTGACTCCTTGATTGATTTTGTCCATATATTCTCCAACGGCTAGCTTGAACTTGAGTAAGATTATGATCTTTCTTGATGCTCATTTCATTTATGGACATCTTATTTATATTCTCCATGGTCTTCATATTCTTTAACTTCTTGCGCAAGTGCAACAATATTCTAACATTCCCCCTCAAGATTGGCTTGGAGGGATGTCGAGAAGCCGATCTTGTCGAACATATGTTTTTATGTTTGCGTTGATTCTCCCTCAAATATGTGATCGCATCCCATGGCGACTCATTTAGCTTGTCCATCATTGCATGTATTCTTTTATATTTTATTTTCTGCATAGACTCAAGAGAATGGTTAGATAACACAAGGGAGGCCGTGACACTCCGTATGATGATAAACCGAAATAAAATTGAAAGGATATTCATTTTATCAAACAAGAGAAGATAAAGACTTCTAGTATGTTTAAATACGAGTTTATATGCTAACATATCATGATATGCCAAATTATCATAAATAGTTTCAAATATTTCATCTTGGTTTTCATTCTTATTGCAAACGAAATTACACATCATTTTAATATTTATAGGTTTATTTTCATCATGCAACACACATTCATTTTTACCAGGATCAAAGACAAGCATATTAAAAATAGATTTACCAAGCCTAGAGTTGTTTAAACTCATAGGTAATACCGGAAGGTTATGTTCGGATATATCCTTTTTGGTAGAGAAACATACGAGTGCATCATACCATTCCCCCTCACTCGTGAGCTTCTCTTCACCATAAATCTTCGGGATCATTTTTTGTTTTTCCTGTCTAAACAAACTAGCAAAACCAAGCATATCATTTGGAAAACACATATTTAAACGGACTGGTGAAAGAAAGAGACTGCAAACCCGGTTGTAAAACCATGAGTATGTGTTATTCGATTTGATTGGAGGAGTTGGATGGGGATGTGTTATAATCTCCATGGTTAATGCCTTCTCTTTGGAAATTTTTTGTTCCATTATGAGGTCATCCTCTTCAATGGTAGATTCTTCACTCCCTTTGTTTTTGTCCTCCATTATGATCGATTCAATCTCCTCTACATGGCCACCAACATCTTCATGAAATATTAGTTCTTCCACTTTATTTTCGTCCTCTTTCTTATTTGTGGGAGACTCTTTTTGGCTTTCTTCTTGACCCCTTCTAATCAATATAGCAAATTCATTAGTTTTAAAGAGATCTTCAAGAAGCGAAATACTTAACTCAAAGTTGTTTGCGTTGGCCGTTTGCACCAATGCCTCTTTGATTTGCAGTGGGAATTGATTTAGGATGTCTTCTACATCCCATTCCCCCTTGTTTTGTTCTTCCAAATATGGTTCATCATCCACACATATGGCTTGAACTTCTTCTATAGAGAGGTTATTCCATGCTTCAACCTCTTCCTTGGTACACCAAAATTGCTCTATAACACCGTTAGCATGTTCGATGTATGAACAATGATTTCCTTCTTCATCTTCAAGGCCTCCAAGATCATCCCAAGTACACTTCATGTGACCTTTTGGGGATGTATTTGGCTATGAAAATGTATTGAAGATGTGTATCGGAGAAATGTCTCCTGCATGTCTTATTCTTAAGTGTTGACTTTAGAATACATATATATACAAAATAGAATCAAAATATTATGGAAAGGTAATAAGTGTAAAACAGCTAGATACAATTATGGTAACAAATATGTAATATAGCATATTGACTCCTTGATTGATTTTGTCCATATATTCTCCAACGACTAGCTTGAACTTGACTAAGATTATGATCTTTCTTGATGCTCATTTCATTTATAGACATCTTATTTATATTCTCCATGGTCTTCATATTCTTTAACTTCTTGCGCAAGTGCAACAATATTCTAACAAGAGGAAGCTTTAGATCCAAATCGATTCGAACATAAGCCTAAGATTACAGGACTCCGGAAAGAGGGAATAAGGTGAGAAGGAGCTTTATCAAAGAAAAAGGCGTTGAGTAGAAGAACTGTTAGTTATTTTAGAGTAGATTGGTGGACTTTAAAATCTCTCAAAGGATTCTTGTTTCACGTGTATTACAAGTGTGGTGGAGGAGTAAAATGTTTGTAAAAGACGTGTCGTGAATTGGTTAAGTGTTAATGATTAGTCGGAAGATATTGAAGGTAGCTCGTTTTTCCCGATGAAACAAAACTGGAAAAAATGAACGACCGCTAAAAAATGAGCGACCGCTCGGAAAATGAGCGAACGCTCAGGAAAATGAACGCGTAGCTCATTTTCTCTGATGAACAAAACTGGAAAAAATGAGCGACCGCTCGGAAAATGAGCGACCGCTCAGGAAAATGAGCGGGTAGCTCATTTTCTCTGATGAACAAAACTGGAGAAAATGAGCGACCGCTCGGAAAATGAGCGACCGGTTAGGAAAATGAACGGGTAGCTCATTTTCTCTGATGAACAAAACTGGAAAATGAGCGACCGCTCGGAAAATGAGCGACCCGCCTGATTTTTCTGAGTTGTTCAAAATGAACCGGAAATCGTGTCTGTTCGGGAAAAAACTTCCGATTCTTTGCACCTTTTGACTTTTGGAGTGTTAAAAAATATTCCTAAACGTCTGGATATATAGTGACGAAAATCTAATTGATTTTTGAGAGATTTGTGAGCCTTGTTGGTGAATCTTTTACTGCTTATCTTCTTTCTCGGGTTTTTCTGTTTCGGGCAATGTTTGAGGAGCAGATCTATCGTTGTTGATCTTCTTTGTATCTTTAAACGTATTCTCGGGTTTCTCCTTTGTTCGGTACAGGAATAACGTTTTAGGAAAGTGTTCTACACACCTAGAAAATCATATCCGGTTCTTTCGTTTTTATTTCGATTTCATTGTTTTTATTGTTCTTTACTGTATCCAAATTTATTAATTTAACAAGAACAACAGGATCTTCCCATTTTCCACAACTGAAAGCTCCAAACGGTGAAGGACGATGAAGGGCAGACTTTGAATTCGATTTCGATCCATATGGTCGTGGTTGGGCCGCGTGTCGTGTTCTGACGCTGCTCCTCCCATGTCGGGCCTTTCCCTTTGTGTCTTTTCCCCTCTTCCTTTCCTTTTTTTTACCAACACTTTGGCGGGCGGGAAAAAATTATTCGGTCACACGAAAAAGGCGATAATTTTTCCTCTCCCGGTGACGCGAAAATGGATTTCTCCGACGATGACGACGGAGATGGCGAAGGCGACGAGAGTTTCGCGTCCCATTTCTACAAGGGTGGTTCGGATTGGTCTTGTTTGGTCTCAGAGACCGATCAGATTTGTCGTGAAACGAACAAGTCGAAGAAGATGAAACAAGCCAACTTGTTCCAGATTTGGGGTCTTCAGAAACCGTCTCCGCCGCCTCCTCCTTCTCCGACGAAGATGAAATCGATGGCGAAGAAGACGAATGTTGTCGGGAAGAGGCTCAGGAACGGTCCGAACACCAATGGCTCTCCCCGTGCTTGCCCTTTCTACAAGAAGCTTCCAGGTCTTGCTCTTCTTTTTCTTCTTCGTATCCGTACAACCATGTATCTGGTTTCAGCTCCTTTAACCTCTGGTTTCAAGTTGCTGCTTCGTTTGGATTCTGTAGGAACACCTTTCACTGTCGATGCCTTTCGCTATGGCCGAATCCATGGATGCTCTGCTTATTTCCTTACCCATTTTCACTATGACCATTACGGTGGTCTCTCCAAGGCTTGGTCTCATGGCCCCATTTACTGTTCTTCTCTCACCTCTCGTCTTCTCACCCTTTCTCTCTCCATCAATCCCTCGTAAGTTCTTTGCTAAATGCCATTCAAGTTCACGGCTGTCTTACATAATGTTCTTCAATTTCTTCTCTGGGTTTTTTGCACGCAGGTTTATCCATCCCTTGGAACTAGACAAGGAATACACCATTAATGGCATCAAAGTCACGTTGATTGAAGCTAATCACTGCCCAGGTGCTGCTCTTATTCACTTTCGCCTCCCTGATGGAACATGCTATCTGCATACTGGAGATTTCAGGGCTTCTAAACAGATGCAGACTCACCCTCTCCTCGTGAACCGACGAGTTCATGTGCTATATCTGGACACAACATATTGTAATCCGAGATACAAGTGAGACCCTTTGTGTTTTAGGCGCCTTTCGATTATGAATTCTTCTGATGGGTTTGGTCGTATTCGTAGTTTTGTTCCATTGTTCTTATGTTCTTTCAGGTTCCCTTCCAAAGAAGATGTGTTGAGTTATGTTGTCAGAATCACAAAGGATTTTCTCAGGAAGCATCCAAAGACTCTGATTGTGGTCGGTGCTTATAGCATTGGAAAAGAATGTGTCTATCTCTCCATTGCCAAAGCACTTGGGGTATGTATCATTTCTTCGGATATTCTCTTTCCTTTTTGCTGTTATTCTCCAGATAGAGCGCTGTTCTTAACCATTCTCTGCAGGGCTTTTGAATTCTGATCTCCCTCCCTCCTTTTTGTCAGGTTAAGATATTTGCAAGTGCTTCCAGGAGACGGATATTGCAATCTTTCGGATGGTCTGATATCTCGGAGAATCTTTGTAGAGATGGAAGAGATACAGTTCTGCATGTTCTGCCTATATCGTCATTGAGGGCCGATGTATGTTTTGTCTAAAACACCTTCCTCACATAATTCTTTTGAAGTTTCTGTGCCAATCTCTCAATGATCTTTGTCTCTCCTCTGGCATTTTGGTTGAAGAGATTGGGAGAGTACTTGAAGGTTTACAGTGAGCATTATGCAGCAGTTCTTGCATTTAGGCCTACTGGTGATTACACCTCAATGATTTTATTACCTTAGATTGTTTTAAGGTATTTTTAAGGTTGAACTGATGGAGCCTTAAAGGAATCGGTACTGTTTCCTTCGTTTTTCCCAGGTTGGACTTACTCTGAGAAGATTGGAGATAAGCTTGATCTGATTAGACCTTCTTCTAAGGGCAACATCGCTATTTACGGTAAGATTGATCTTCGCTATGGAATCTCTACGTCGGGAAAAGAAGAAGAAATCCAAGAACCGGGATCAATCTGCAACAATGAACTGCAATGTTGTGAACTTTGGCCTTGACTGACCTGTGTGTTTTTTCATGATCTTCTTTCTAGGGGTCCCATATAGCGAGCATTCGAGCTTCACAGAACTCTGCGAGTTTGTTCAAGTGAATCTTTACGCATCGGTTTGGAAAAATCGTTAAAACGTGTTTTCTTTTAAGATGTGGACTAATTTTTTCGTGTTTTAACGCAGTTTCTAAAGCCAGATAAGATCATTCCTACTGTGAACGTTTCGAATGCCGGTACCCGTGAAAAGATGCAATCACATTTCAGAGAATGGCTCAGAAGCTGAGGCAGATTTAGTGGAGCCTGGATTCTGTTTGGCAAGAGAATCTCTTCCCTTCTGCATATATACATACATATATGTGTGTATATATATAAGCAGAAACCTCACAATTCTGGATGTAAAGCCAAGATATGAACTTTGGAAAGCAGAAATTTCAGAGTTGAAGCAGCCATTGGAAGGATCATACTACGAAATTCTCAATTGTATTTCTTGATTACTGTCTCTTATAACCAAACAGCTTTTAGACCTTCGACAGTTCCATCCTTCTTAGTTACGATGTTTTATGCTTGCACTCATTTGTCCAAATGCCTTTGCCTGTTTCATTTTCTTGCGTTAAAATACTAATACTAATAATATTACTAATAATGCCCTTTTTCTCCATTGTGTATGTTTCCACATCCACTCTTTTCTTGCCGAAGTCTATCATTGAGGAAACATTAGAAAGAAAGAAAAATCTATCTTATATAAGACATTTACTATCAAAACATGCTCTCATCCTGGATTCAAACCCAAGCGTGGGGAGAGGTATTCACATGGGCTTCCCTGTTCCTCTGACAGATGTAGTCGGACCAAAGATCCGGTGAACTTCCGGATTATAAAAAAAAACATGAATTTATATAGATAATTTATTTGTTCAATATAACTTTAATCTTATGATGAGAATCTCTAATATAAGAAGTGCTAAACAAGGGAGACTCTCTAATAATGGGCCTGAAAAGTGGGCTTTGGATAATGAAAGGCCCATTTAGTGGTTTGGTGCGGCGTGGTTGTTGCTGCTGCCGTCACCTCTCAATCACTCCCCTCCAATCATTTGGCTTAATCGCCGTTGACTGCCCAAACGCAAACGCCAAACGCACAATCTGTATGCGTTTCGAACCGCTTCTCCCTCGCTCGTCCAACGGCAAGAGGAGCAGAAGCAGATGTCAATTACAGCTGGCGAGTGGGATCCCCGTACCCCACTCCTCCGTCATGCAAATGCGGTCCTACTCTACTCTACTCTCCTTTATTTTATTTTTAATTTTTATTTGTTTAAAAAGTGAATATTTAAAATGTTATAATATAATATTTAGAGAATATTTTACGAGTGTCTGTTTGCTTCGTTGAATATTTAAATCACTATAAAATACCTTTTAGTGAGAGCCTGTAACTATTAAAATAAAAGCTTGTTTATCAAATAGGGTGTAAAGTATTCAATTTGGTTTCCGCAATAATTGTTGTGATTATCAATAATAGCGTGAGCCCAAAATTATTATCATTTCAGTGGTCAAACATCTATATTCACATTCACATTCCACACAATATAATTTATATTTGTTTGTTTTTTCAGGCTATGTAAAAGTTGATCATAACCCAAAAAAAGGAGAGATTTGATGCTAAGAAAGATTAGTAAAAGCCAGTGTTTTCCTCTCTCTGGACTTGTGGCGGCAGACAACGTTATACGCCGCTCTCTCTCTCTCTCTCTCGTTCTTGCTTCTTTTGATTCTCTTCGCTGTATTGCAACCTGTCGAAGCGACCCACTTGTTCTGCTCTTCAAAGATTTAATCTTTTGTCCTTCCCCTAAAAAAAAAAAAAAAAAAAAAAATTGGGGGGGGGGGTGGGAGTAAACTCTGTCAATGTCAATTTAAGTTATATAAGCGACGGGAATGCCGCAAAATAGAAACTTGCTGTAAAAATTCGCAATGGTTTGATATTCTTTTGAAGTCGTGAGGGAGAGAGAGAGAGAGATAGTGTGTGGGTTATCTGCGCGGTGTCACTTTCTGTCGGCATTGTCGGATGACTTGATTCTCTCTTACCATCTCTTGGTGATGTTTATTCTTAGAAACAAGTGCGGCGGAGATTGATCCTTCACGGGCTTGTCTTGATTCCGTTTTCCGAACCATCCATCGGGGATGCTTTCTGGGTTTTATCGGGTCTCTATATCTGTGTTCGTAGACTTTTTCCTTCTGGGGTTTTGTCTCTGATAATCCATTGATTGATTTTGTCTCTACGCAATAAAGTAATTCCCCCCCCCCCCAATTGAATGTCGGAAATGTGGGGATTCGCGCCGTTGATTTAGGAAATTGTCGATTCTGTGATGTTTATTCGCCGATGAGCTTGAGCTTTTCCTGAGATCTGCTTGCGTCGCCTCTTCTCTGGCTTTCAAGGTTTGGGGGCTTTTCCATATGAATATATTATCAGTGAATTTATGTCATGTAACTCCATATCTGACGTTGCATGTCTGTTCGTTCGTGTAGAAGAATCTTATTCATTCGCAAGTTGACACCTTTTTACCTCTTTTATGAAGATGTATATCCACAAGCTTTGTTTGCTTTTGGGTTTTTGTCTTTTCTTTTTTCTTTTAATCGTTTTCTTATGAAGCCCTCGCCTTCATTTCTGGTTTCCAGTGTTATCGCATGGTAGTCGCCTGGAGAATTTCTGAGAGAGGTTTCTGTACCAAATGTCAACAACTCTTGCGGCAGCCATTGGAGGTGCTGCGGGAGCTCTTGCATTCGTAGCTCTCTTGATCCTTCTCCTATGGTTTTGCCTCTTTCGCCGCCAGAATGTGTCAAGAACTTCTGAGACAGCCTCTTCAGATCCTTCCATTCAAGGTAATCAATCGTCCAACCAAATCTCAAGTCCTTGAACCCTGTCCCTAGTTTCACGAAGGTTAGTGGAATGATCCGTGTGTTTCAGCAGAAAGAAATGTTGCTATTGAGTTGTCTCTACGAGAAGCCAGAAGGTTTGAAATGGAAGAGTTGGCTCAGGCCACAAAGGGTTTTACCAGTAAGAGCCTCATAGGTATTGGCAAATTCGGTGAGGTTTACAAGGGATTGCATCAAGATGGCATGCTCGTGGCCATCAAGAAGCGAACCAGGTCGCCTACTCAGGAATTTGCCAATGAGGTGAGACCCTTATTCTTGTTTCTTGAATCTGATTTCACGACCAAGCTTCTATAGGACTATGAAGGGATGAACATAAGGGACTTGGAAATGAGTTTCAGGTCCGGTATCTGTCATCTATCCATCACCGCAACCTTGTCACTCTCCTGGGTTACTGTCAGGAAAACAATATGCAGTTTCTCGTTTACGAGTATGTTCCTAATGGAAGTGTTTCCAGTCACCTGTACGGTAACTCTCTGTCCGTGTAAAGTTTCCATCTTTAGCTTTGGTTCAAGCATGAATTTGCTCTGGCATTCATATCAGATATACCACTATATGATAATCCAGTCTAAAGCGATTCTTTACCGGTGTTAGTCATCTTGATATCGAGGTTCAATCGTATGTCCGGGCAATTTAACATCGTGATCTCCTTCTATCAGGTGATGGTGGCAAAGGACCTGGACGGAAGCTAGAATTCAGAAACAGGCTTACGGTATCTCTAGGGGCTGCTAAAGGTGATCCTCTGCAAAATCAGTGAGCATTTGTTGCTTTCCTGGTATCAGATTTTCTTTTTGAAAAGATTGAACGATCAAATTATTACAACCTTGGTCCCTCAAACTATCTCCTCGTGTATACTAATCAAACATTCAGTCACAAGACTCGGTACAGAATGCGAATTAGGCATAAATCTTTACTCTGAACACAGAGCTGTTCTTGTAGAATTGCTGCTCCCTGATCTGTGTACCCGTTTTTCCTGTGTTGTCCTTTGAATTTCAGGGTTGGCACATCTTCATTCTCTGAGTCCTCGACTGATACACAAGGATTTCAAAACAGCCAATGTTCTTGTAGATGAAAATTTCATTGCTAAGGTTGCTGATGCAGGACTTCCTAATCTCCTGGGAAGAGAGGATGTTGGTTCATCCTCTCAAATGGTGGCAGACAAGATATTCCTTGCCCCCGAGTAATTTTAACATTTCCATCCAGCTCCCACCTTTGTTTGGCAACCCCATGTTCAGAAAACAAAAAAAAAAAAAACACAGAATCAGTTACTCAGTTGAGTCTGCATGCCCCCTTTGCAGGGTTCAAGAGTTCAGAAGATTTTCAGAGAAAAGCGACGTATATGCCTTTGGAGTATTCCTCTTGGAACTAGTGACTGGACGAGAAGCATCAGAACCGTCCCCTTCGAATTCATCCCGAACTCTTGTGGAATGGGTATGTACATCTCAATCTCTGCATGCAATTACCATTGGCATTTGCCGTTCATCTTCACTCTTGGAACCATAAAGGGTACAATGATCACAAAGTCACTGGCTTTGATGTACCAGTCAGTAACTTCAACGAACAGGGTTTTAACGGGTTTTTTTTTTTTTGGACATCACATTGCAGATGCAAAACAACATGGATAACGAGGATCTTTCCACCGCGGTGATCGACGAGAGACTGGGGAATAGCTACACAGCGGAGGGAATGGAGGAGCTGATGAGATTAACGATGAGATGTTTGCAAGTGTCGAGCGAGAGGAGACCAGGGATGAGCTATGTTGTGGCAGAACTGGAGAGAATACTGGACAAAGAAGTGAGCTTAACTACACTAATGGGCGAAGGCACGCCAACTGTTACTCTTGGAAGCCAGCTTTTCAAATCCACAAAGTGAAAGAGAAAAAAACCGGACTTGGGTGTTGTGTTTGAAGTGTTCAGGTACCGAAATTCGCCATCTTTACACACATATATATATATACACATATATATATCGAAGTTTTCCTCTTGTGAGAGACCAAGACTGAAAGAGGAGGAGGAGGAGGATAATTCAGCTGTTTGATTGTAAGTGTATAAAGAGCAGCTGCGCTATTCGTTTGTTTGTTTGTTTTTTCCATCTCCTTTCGGGGGGTGATATGATATTTCCCAGATTTGTTGTTCTTTTTTAAACAATTTGAGTGCAGAGAATAACGTTTGTAAACATCATTTGTTGATTAAAAATCAAGGGAGCAAAAGAGTGTGGTTTTCATGGTGTGTAAGTGCAGAAAATCCATTGTCAAACATGCCCATGATCATATGAGTAAAGTGGTGATTGCCACTGGGTTTGAAGATTGGAGAATGATTGCCCCCTCCCTTTTCTTGGATCTGGTTGTTGTATTCGAATTATGGGTTAAATATTCAAATGGGTTTGAATTATTTATTTCTCCAACAAAGGGTAGCAAGGGAGGGAGGGAACTGTTCACTAGACTTGTAGGGTTTCCATTTTCCACCCTCCCTATATCCTCTTAAGCTCCGTGTCTTCAAAGAGTGATCCAAATTTTGATGAGGTAAACAGTTCTTGACTGGTTATATTGTCGGCAATTTATTAAACTGTTGGATGAATGAATCTTACTTAAATCTTGGTACACCATTTACTCTTGGTCCCACCCACCAGAAGAAATGTGGACACATGCGAGAATTAGATCATTCAAGAACTGAGAAATTCGAACTGATGGGTGTTTTTGGCAATTGACGTGGCGTTACTTTCCATGTTCTGATTGTGGGAACTGAGAACTAACAGTCAAAGCAGATCCCGAAAATCGATGCATTTGGTCGGATTTTATTGTGTCGGAGAAGTTTGTGTGGAAAAGACGGTGGCAGTCACAGAACGAACAGACTCTTCTTACTGCAGATGACTGAAGGGGAAGGCGGTGGTGGGTCTCTCTCTGTCTTCTTCCTGATCCTGACTGGTCGGAAAGTTCATACTGATGAAGTTCTTGAAACCTTGAAAAATAAAGTAACAGATGGTGTTTTGATGAATTAAATTAAGACCCGGTAAATAAAAATTCGAGAAAAAACGAGGGCCATTCGATTCTCATAGACCCATCGACTCACTGTCGCAAAGGCTAAGCCTTTTCTGCCCATTGCTTTCTTCCCTCTCTCTCTCTCCTCTCTCTCCGTTTTCATGCCATCGCAATGGCGACGAAGCTCCTCTCACCGCCGTTATCATGTCCGTTAATTCCCTCAAGAGACGCAATTAGAAGCTTTCAACGGCGGCGGCGGTCGTTGTTTCGGCGGAATCAAACCGGAGGTTTCTGCGTCGCCGCCGTCATGACGGAGGAGACTTCCCTCTTCGCTGCCTCTTCGGTGGTTCAGCTGCAGCAGTGGTGGCATCAGAACCCTGATTCCGTACTATTAATGGCGGAGACCGGGGGTTACTCGCTCGCCAGCTACTACACGTCTCTGGGTCTGTTCGTGATATCAGTTCCAGGTCTCTGGTCACTCATCAAGCGCTCCGTCAAGTCCAAGGTTTGTTCGCTCACGCTCCTGCGTTAAAACCCTAAACCCCAAACCCTTCTGATTTTGATATCTCGTTCGATGAAATCTGATTCTGAGCGTCTCAGGTAGTGCGGAAAACGTTTGTAACTGAAGGCGGAGGAATAAGGAAGGAGCCGAAGCAGGTTGCAGGGGAGATACTCTCCTTCTTCACACGCAACAATTTCGAAGTCACTGATCGAGGAGAGACAATCACGTAAAACTTCAAATTGCCTCTTTTTTCCATCGAATCTGTCAACTTTCTTGGCGAAGGTTGTGAACTCGAGCACGAATCTCATGTGGGTATGCACTGTCCGATCGACAGGTTCGAGGGAATGATGGTTCCAAGCAGGGGACAAGCGGCTCTGTTAACATTCTGCACATGCATAAGCTTAGCGAGTGTGGCGCTTGTTCTCACCATCACTCTTCCTGATGTGGGCAACAACTGGTTCTTCATCACCCTCCTCAGTCCACTCGCGTAAGACCCCCATCTCTCGTCTATTACAATCCATGACAGGAAACAGAGAATCCTCAGAACTTGGTTTTGTCTGTGAATCGAATTATACGGGGTTTTGGACGGCGATTTTGCAGAGGGGTGTATTACTGGACGAAAGCATCGAGGAAGGAACAGGTCAAAGTGAAGATGGTCGTGGGAGAGGATGGGACATTGGCAGAGGTTGTGGTTCAAGGAGATGATCAACAGGTTGAGCAGATGAGGAAGGATCTCAAGCTTAGTGAGAAAGGCATGGTTTATGTCAAAGGCCTCCTCGAGAGATTGTAATGACCAAACTCACATCAACCATTCTGTTTTTTCAGTAAAAGGATCCAAATTTTAATGTAAAAGATGATGCATCTGACCACCAAAGGACAGGATTTAGGGTAACTATTAGACAGAGCCTCTGTTCCATCAGATCACCTGCTTCTTCTTAGATTGCTGTACACTTTGGTTTGCTCCTGGCGATATGCCATTGCCCTTTCTCTGCATTGCTGCAAGAAAAGAGATACATGTTCAGTGTCGGTTCCAGATGTCGGCTGGTGTATGTATATAGCCCTTGCGATGAGCATATGGCACGCAATAAAGACTAAGAGATGGGTGTCTCAATTTACTGGAACCGAGGTATTATAGTGTCGCCCCCACCCCACTTAACTAAATCTCCGGCCAAGACATTAAAGATTTCATCCACATAAAACGTCTGAAATCCAAGTTCACTTGAGGCTAAACTAAATCCATTCATAACGCAATCGCAGACACTACTTAGAGAGGAGATGAAAGAAAGGATCTTACTTTGCTGGTCTAAGCTTGTAAACTCTCTCTCTCTCTCTCTCTCTCTCTCTCTCTCGTGACAGATAGGGTTTATTGTCATCTTTGTCCTGTATTATTTGCATAACCATGGCGTCTCTCTGCTAATCCATGCACGTCATGCCATGCATGCGCCTCCTCCCACCTATAGAACATCGTGTATCTTTTATAAATTATAAGCTAACCGGTTTATCGTTATTATTAATAACAAAATATTTTTTAAAAAAAAATTAACTATTTTTAATAAAAATGTATAATACCAATTCAGATTAAATAGGAACTTAATTATGTATAATTATTACCAATTCACCAATATAATTTGTTGGTTTAGGTAATCGATAACACTATAAAAAAAATTATAGAAAAAAAAGGATAAACCCATAAAAAAAAACCTTCAACTATCCTATTTACACCAAAAAAAACTTCTACTTAAAATTCATTATAAAAAACCATAAACTATGAACTTTGAACAATAAAAGACCATCACTTATATAAATTATTTAAAATCAATCTTTCACTTTGAATTTGTTATAAAAATCTATCAACTATTAATTTAAAAAAAAATCATCATCTATCTAAATTACTCAAAAAAATATTTTGTTTTAAATTTCTAATAAAAATATATAAAATTTGAATAAAAAATAGTTATAAATTATATAATTTTAAAAATCTCAGTAAAAATATAATATTTATTTAAATTTATCGTACTATAATATTTAAAATTTATAGAAATATTATAAATATCAATCATTATATAATAAATTTGTATACAAAGATTATATTTAAAATTTAATATATTTTATTGGTTGCAAATATTATATTTAAGTTTTATCATATATTAATATCTGAAGGGTACAAAACTATTAATTTGATTTTTCTATAATAATTAAATTTTTTCATAGACTTTTATAATAATTTTAATAAAAAATTTATCAACTATTTAAAATTATTAAAATTATTTATTTTAGATAAAAAAAAATCTATAACCAATAAGATATACTCAATTTACAATATTATATAGGGTAAAAACTCTCAAAATTTCTGAACTTGTAATTTGGTGTAATACAAATTCCTGAATTTGCAGAGGTGTCTATTAATTCCCGAACTTGCAAAATTAAACATGATAATTACTGAACTTGTTAAACCGTTCCATATATATCCTCAGTATGAATTTGTCAAACAAACGCGTTGACCTATTCGACGTGGCGCATGACCTGTCGAATCAGCTCGGAAAATTTGTGCCACGTGTGCAATTCTCGGTTTTCGAAAAACCGTGTTTAATGGGCAAAATTGCAAAAATAACCCAACTTGTCGATTTGGACTTCACGACATGACCCTCTAGGTTTAGGGTTTTAAAAAAAAAATCTAAAATGATAAAAAGACTAATTTGCCCTTAAAATATTGAATACGTGGCAACTCAATGGAAAGCAGGAAACGACAACAACTCTCTGTGTTTCCAAATTTTCAAACAAACAACGGACGAACGTCTTCTCCTCTCATCCGGTTTCTTTCTTCAATCGCGCAAATCTCTCGGGTTCTTCTTACAAAATCGTCTTCTGTCGGCACAAATGGCTTCATCTTTGGCTTCTCCTTCGGTTACTGCTTCGGTTTCTACTTCAGAAGATCTACAGGTATGGTACACTCACCGAAAAAATTGATTGCGTCGTTCGTCCTCTCTTTGTCTTTGTGTTTATGTGTTTGTTTCGGGTTTAAACTCCAATAGAATAATGTTCGAGTCGTTTGGGTTAGAAAAATTAGGGTTTTAGGTGAAAAATAGAGATTTTCAGAAAGATAGTTAATGAAAGTCGAATTTTTTGGTCAGACGGTTATATTACTCGAATTAGTCAGACCCATGAAATGGGTAGACCAATGAAATGGTCAGACCAGTGAAATGGTCAGACCCGTGCAGTGGAGAAACCAGTGAAGTGGTCAGACCCTTGAAATGGTCAGACCCGTGAAGTGGACAGACCAGTGAAGTGGTCAGACCCGTGAAATGGTCAGACCCGTAAAGTGGGCAGACCAGTGAAGTCTGGTTAGACCCGTGAAATGGTCAGACTCGTGAAGTGGGTAGACCAGTGAAGTGGTCAGACCCGTGATGTGGTCAGACGAGCGAAATGGTCAGACCGGTTAAATGTCAGACCCGTGAAGTGGTCATACTTCACTGGTATGACCAGATTTATTGTAATCATAGTCTGTTTCGTAATTGTAATATAATAAAACTGATCATGAGAGTTAATCTAATTGTTGCAGGTCCCTTTTGTGTACGCTTTCAAGGATATTCAACACCGTGCATTAAGGTTGGAAGGAGAGGAAAAAGAGTTTTGGTTTGTTGTAAATGGCGTGCCCATCAGATACTCGATCCAGGAACATGCCATTATCTCCGACTTAAATTTTAACAACTATTCGGAGGACTGGACTAAATGTAAGGGAAGTGAATTTCGGAAAAGAATATTCGGAACTTCAAAAGTTACCATAGAAGCTGCATTAAAGAAGTTGCGCGAAACTCCACATGCAAATGTGGAAGAAAGAAAGAGATTAGCAATAATTGTATTGTTTTAAACAGTGATTTGGTGGACATGGTCGAAAGTCTGGACTTCTGTGAAGGGTTTCCCTGGAGAAGATACACCTTCGTTAAGATTAGCGATCAGATTCGGAAATTGTATAATGAATTGGTTTGTATATTGCAGTTTCTTCCTTTCGAATGCATCGAAAGTTTAGGCGCAAATGGATGGTATATTGATGTTGAAGGTATCGATCCGACTTGTCCTAGGATGTGCAAGAAATGCATCAAACCGGATCTTTTTATACATATGCAAAGGTGTATAAACAGATTGGCGATACCTCAAAGATACATATTAATTTGGTGATTTCTTTTATAGTGTCACCAGTTGGATTGGTCTGACTAATTGAATTGGTCTGACAAATTGAATTGGTCTGACCAGTTTGTGATTAGTATGACCAATTTGTAATTGGTCATACCTGTCATAATGTAGTCACACGAGCCATTTTTTCAGGGATTTCGAAGTGTTCTTCAAATATATAGCAATGAAGGTGTTAGCATACCATGGTCAGATGGTCAGACCTATTCGAAATTGCGAGATTCATCGGTTTGAAAGTGTTAACATCGTAATAATCATCTCGTATGATCGATTTCTCTAGTTGAAATCGGTCGTAGCAATATGGACTGAACATCTTTTTTTTTTATGTCAAAGTAACTCTTTCCAAAGAAGACTTAAACTACTAGTAGTGTTTGTGTAACACATTGGACACAATTGACTTATGTTGGTAGATTTTTTTTCTCCACACAAAATTAGAACTCCAAAACGATGAAAAAATATTCTTATATCCCTTATACAACTTTTCTAATCGTTTGAATTTAATTTAGGTTTTTTTTTCGTACTCGAATGGTCAGACGGTCAGACGGTCATATGGTCATACTATGGTCAGACGGTCAGACCTATTTGAAATTGCGAGATTCATCGATTTGAAAGTGTTAACATCGTAATAATCATCTCGTATGATCGATTTCTCTAGTTGAAATCGGTAGTAGCAATATGAACTGAACATCTTTTTTTGATGTCAAAGTAACTCTTTCCAAATGTCAAAATTGGTCAAACTGGTCATATTCGTGAAATTGGTCAAAATGGTCATACTCATCAAACCTGTGACATTTTTCAAGTGTATCATTTTATCACATTTTGTGTTTATTTTATACAGGTATAATGGATGCAACTAATGAGAGGATGATGATTATTTATTATAAATCTGATGGCAAGTGGGTAGTAAAATCGATCGGAGCATATGAATGGGAAGGAAAGAAGAATACATGTTCGATAGGTTCAGCCAACATATCATTGTCATAAGATCATGCGGGTGGAATGTATTTCGAGTGTTAACATCGTAATAATCATCTCGTATGATCGATTTCTCTAGTTGAAATCGGTCGTAGCAATATGGATTGAGCATCTTTAAATTTTTGATATCAAAGTAACTCTTTCCAAAGAAGACCTAAACTATTAGTAGTGTTTGTGTAACACATTGGACACAATTGACTTATGTTGGTAGATTTGTTTTCTCCACACGAAATTAGAACTCCAAAACGATGAAAAAGTATTCTTATAACCCTTATACAACTTTTCTAATCGTTTGAATTTAATTTAGGTCTTTTTTTTCGTACCCGAATGGTCAGACGATCAGACGGTCATATGGTCATACCATGGTCAGACGGTCAGACCTATTCGAAATTGCGAGATTCATCGGTTTGAAAGTGTTAACATCGTAATAATCATCTCGTATGATCGATTTCTCTAGTTGAAATCGGTCGTAGCAATATGGATTGAGCATCTTTTTTTGATATCAAAGTAACTCTTTCCAAAGAAGACCTAAACTATTAGTAGTGTTTGTGTAACACATTGGACACAATTGATTTATGTTGGTAGATTTTTTTTTTCCACACGAAATTAGAACTCTAAAAC